CCAAGCTTCATGTAACAAGCAGAAAACAGGGGCTTCATGTTGTGATACAAAGTCTGGCTGACACCAGATATAATATTATAAGCATAATTAAACCACAATTCATTATGTTGGCGCCCCTATGGAATGGGCTTTTAAATTCACCTACTTTAGTTAAATGCTGAACTTCTTCAGATGAAAATTCCATGATTTGGGTATATACTTAAAAAGCCAAAAGTACTTATAGGGTTAGTGTATTTTAATTCATAATATGAAATTATAATAATGAAGGTTTTGGTTAAAGGTTTTATTGTTATATTGAACCTGTAAAGTAGCCTTACAATACTCAGGTTTACTGCCAAGTAGGTAACACATGCAAGGACATTTTTGTGTATTATGGTACATGAATACAGTAAGGGGAATTTTGTTATGAAAATAGCAAATATAGAACTAGGCTTCTACAAAAAAAAATCTTTAAACTAATATTTCGGAAAGCCACAACTAACCAGGAGCTAAAATCATGAAAATGCAATGGGGTAAAATACTTGATCTGAATTGTGGCGGAATATAATTCTACAGTAGCATGACATGAAATACTACAAACTACAAACTTAAAGTAATGTTAAAGTAATTTTAAAACATTCCCAATTGGAAACACACAATTTAATTCAAAAAACATTATGAGGATACATTTGACGTAAAAACATGAGCCCAGTAATTGTTTTAAAAATAATGTGGTGACTGTTTTGTGGCATTTGTTTCTGATGGATGTGAGTGTATGTCGTCTTATCTGGCAGCCCCTGAGAGCTTCAGCCGGTGACTTGCTCTGCTGAACCTCCGCAGAAGTACTTTCTGTGTGTGTGTGTAGCCGGTTAGCATCATGGCGAACGTTGTGGATACTAAGCTATACGACATCCTCGGAGTTTCACCATCTGCCTCTGAAAATGAACTAAAAAAGGTACGTCAGTTACCAATTCGAAACAAAAAGCAAATGGTTTGATCAAAACCGTGTGGATAAAAAGAGAGCTTGCTATTGAAATGTGGCCTATAAACAAGCTAATCAACGTGAGCTAGGTTACTGTACGCTAAGGCTAGCTAATGATTTTAGACGCAGCTAGCGGGTTTGCTAGTCTAGCAAGTAAGCTAAGCTAGCTAGGTAAGGATTCTGTACTCCATGGCACGGCATTGTTTGAAGACCATTGAAGCTATTTATTGGTGGTTTTGAAAGGTCAGCAATGTTTGCGATGTTCGTAGTGTTAAATGGCTGTAGTTAGCCTGCCTGAAAAACAGGTCACCACGAGTGTGATAGCCTACCGGCTATTGACGTCAGTTGATACATTCCAGCAAATAGCCTTAACCAAGTCGCGCTGAAATTCAATTAAGTAACGTCTAAACAACTCGTCTGAAATAAATAAGTAGAAAATAAACCCTCTGGTGTTTGGTGTAACATTTATTGACGCTAAACTTGGCTTGAGTAAACGTTTATCGATACACATGATGCTTGTTGGTTACCACGGATGTGGTATCTAGATAACGTTAATGTCACTCGACGTAAGCTAACGTTAACGATATACGTCTTTGTTTACCGCAAAGTCCATTCAAAATCAGTCAACTAGGGGTTGTTTATACTCATTAAACGTTAGGCCCTTGCTAACATGACTTGAGACATTTATCCAGATGTTTATTTCTCGTATATTCTTTGACATAAGTAAACCACATGAACTAACCTAATGTTAATCTAACGTGAAGACAAACGCCCATCCATGTGTTTTTGTCTTCCAAAGAAATCAGCATTCAAGGTGGTTGCGACAACCGACAGTGTGATTTACTTTCAAAACGATTTTTTGTCAACATGAAGCTTTCAGATTTTATGTTAGTGAATTCTCGATTTGCCAGAAGACCATGATAGTTGTGTCTTGTCAGGTTAACACAAAAGAAGGGTTTCGGATGTCTTTTTGTTGTCTTGCGCTCAAGTATTTTGAAGTATAGTATAAGTGTCGAAGATGTCAAAGGCAGCGATGCTCTTCCCAGTGTCCTGATGTTTTTGACAGCAGGCCCGCAAGTCAAGCCCTTGGCTACCGAAGGATATTTAATAGGCCTACATTTAGTGATTTGCTAGCAGAGCTATTTGACAGAGTTGGTACATAGATCAGCGAGTGAACACAGATTGGTTCACTTTGATGTTTGGTTTATTACAGGCCTACCGCAAATTGGCCAAAGAGTACCACCCTGACAAGAACCCCGACGCTGGAGACAAGGTAAGATGCACCAAAGTATTTCATGTTAACATTAGCACCATCATAGTTAGCAACAACAGCAGCTCCATTATTCAACAATTGGGACCTAGAAATGATGTCAACTTAGTTTATTATGATCACACAGCCTACCTCTTTGAGTATTAAGACAAGGTACAGATCAAAGTACAGCATATGAAACGGTATTTCCCTAGTGAGTGTACATCCATGTTTGATTTGTATTTCTCGATGACTTAATTTGACACATTCTGCATTTTTTGTTTTCTTTTTACTCTGTCACAGAGGCTCATCAAAAACAAAATGTGGGCCTTTTGCTGTGATCTACGGATTTGTTTGTCTCCTGTCAAGCTTTCTGAATTCTTCTTTTGTTTTGTTTTCCAGTTTAAAGAGATCAGTTTTGCATACGAGGTTCTAACAACCCCAGAAAAAAAGGAGCTTTATGATCGCTATGGAGAACAGGGGCTACGGGAAGGAGGTGGCGGAGGAGCTGGGATGGACGATATCTTCTCCCATATTTTTGGCGGAGGACTGTTCGGGTTCATGGGGGGACAGGGCAGAGGACGCAATGGAGGCAGGAGGAGAGGGGATGACATGGTACACCCTCTGAAGTAAGTGTGTTAGATACAAACAGTTTGGGTACTTACAATGGGTGTTTCTAATATATATTGTGTTGTTGAACTCATCTTATCCATTTTTGTCACTCAGAGTTTCTCTTGAAGACCTCTACAATGGCAAAACCACCAAACTGCAGCTCAGTAAGAATGTTCTGTGTGGTGCCTGCAATGGGTGAGTTGCTTTGAAATGCTTCAATTTAATCATCACATGATTGGAAACTAGTTTTAATCGCAGCAATTATAGACATTCCTGTTAACAATGCCGCTGTTTCCCTTTTTAGTCAGGGGGGTAAGGCAGGAGCAGTGCAGAAGTGTGTGGCATGCAGAGGACGAGGTATGAGAATCATGATAAGACAGCTGGCCCCTGGGATGGTCCAACAGATGCAGTCCGTCTGCACAGACTGCAATGGAGAGGGTACTTATATCTGTTAACCCTCAGACACGTGTTATACTTTAAACATATACAGATATTTTACCGAAATGAGCACAACGTCCCTCTGAAATCGTCTCATCTCTGTATGTGCGCAGGTGAGGTGATAAATGAGAAGGACCGCTGCAGAAAGTGTGAGGGTCATAAGGTGAGTAAGGAGACCAAGCTCCTGGAGGTGCATGTGGACAAAGGCATGAGGCACGGACAGAAGATCACATTCACTGGGGAAGCTGACCAAGCACCAAACATCGAACCAGGAGATATAGTCCTGGTGCTGCAGGAGAAAGAACATGAGGTAAAAAAAACTAAAACTGGTGGTTTCAAATAATACATTTATTTATTGTCCTAGATAAGTAAACATTCTTTACAGGATGTTTTTACACTTATTCGATGTAGATGTTAAAATGAAACTACAACAAACCTTTCAACTCAATCTAAATCAGGAATTCCGCCGCGATGCCAACGACCTTCACATTGTTCAGCGCATCGGCCTGGTTGAGGCTCTGTGTGGCTTCCAGATGACCGTCGCACACCTCGATGGACGTCAGTTGCTTGTCAAATATCCACCTGGCAAGGTCATTGAGCCAGGTAAACATGTCTTCATACCACAGTAATTGATTTGATCTCTTTTATTAAATCCATGCTCTGTTTTTTTTTTTAAAGCTAGATTTACACTCTATTAGCCATTTTTGCAACTAATAAGTCATTTTTATTAATCTCTCACTAACTTTTGATATGATGCCAAACATCTAAAGTGGTGGACATGTATAAAGCATAGTTCTTAATTGCCTGACAATTCTGTTAGCACATGTCACAATGTATAGTACATGGTTTGAACATTAAAAAGTCAAAGGTTCTTATTGCTCCTTCCTGCCTTTTATACACTTTTTGTTGATGTGTTTTTGTGGCAGGCTCTGTTCGAATGGTGAAGGGCGAGGGAATGCCTCAGTACAGAAACCCATTTGAAAAGGGAGACCTTTACGTCAAGTTTGATGTCCAATTCCCTGAAAACAACTGGATTAGCCCCGAAAAAATGAATGTGAGTGACTATCATTAAACATCGTGATTTGCACAATCTTAACTTTATTATTCTTGAATGATTGTGATGTCATAATACATTTTGTATTAAACTCGATTGTAATTTTTCAGGAACTTGAGTGCTTGCTGCCTGCTCGCACTGAGAACCCTGTCATTTCAGCAGATGCAGAGGAAGTTGACCTGACAGAATTTGACAAGAGTCAAGGGTCAGGAAGTGGAGCCAGGAGAGAGGCCTACAATGATAGTTCTGATGAGGAAGGGGGTCATCATGGCCCAGGGGTGCAGTGTGCACACCAATAGAAAGACTCATAAATAAAGATGTGCGCACACATAAACGCATATATACATGAACGTCCCCCCAGTCCCATTGCTAACATCGTCCAAGACATGACACGCATACATGCAGGTTTCTCTCAGATGTACACAAATACATTTACATTTATATCCACCCTCATCATTTCCATGGTGCCCATAAAGTCAGTGATTTGTTGGACACGTGATGACCATTTTTGTGTTTATGGACAGTAGTGCTCGTCATAGCTTCCAGCAAACAGGTTCATTGAATGAACTTGACTTGGACCACCCTGTTTTCATCCTAGGCTTTACCTTTCACTGTGGGAAACACCAGTCTAGTGTATAAAATGCAAATATTGTTGACTATCTTGTATATGGTGTAGTTTAGTCTATCACACACAAGCGCATGCTGCTTTCTTGCTGAAGATCTTGCACTTGTATATCCGGGGTCCAGACAGGACACTACAGAGAAATCTTGACACCACACCTGTTCAAATATCAGTGTGTGACAGCTATCAAAGTGCCCTGCTACCATAAATGCTGACCTGAATACAGCCCTAAAAGTTTGTCCTCTGCACAGCCTAGAAGCTCATCCTCTAAGGTGACCCGTCATGTTTTGAAATGGAACGGTTTCTGTTAAGTCCCCTGGCTGTCACATTGCTAAAATATTAAAGTCCTTAGTAAAGCTCCTGTCAGCTATGTTTTCTTAGTTTGGAAATCAAACATGCTTTCTTTGTTTTGTTTGAAAGTTAGTGTGTCCGAGACCACATAACTTGAACCTCAGTTGTGAACTGTTCATTTGGTTTGAGGAGATACTTATGTGTGTGTGTGTAATGCAGTGGCTCAGTGTGTGTGAGCTGCTGTGGAATGTTCTGGCATATTAGAGCGATAGGTAGTACGGCTTTGTGTTGGACTGCAGTGTGAGTGGACACTATATAGGGTCAATTTTAAGAGGTAAAAAAGCCGAATGTTTATTTGCTATCCATGTAGACATTTCCCTCTGCTCACCAGGGTTGAGAGATCTCCCTCTCTTGCAGGAAAACCACTGGGCCCGCACCAAATCTATGTAATATACATATCTCCCCATCGTAGTGTTATTAGCCAAACTTACATCCTTTGACATGTTAAAATATTCCTGTCCCCATATACCTGTAAATAGCAATAGCCCGAGTCCAGAGGTGTATTCAAAGTCTACAGCTGTGTCTGTTGTGTAGTCACATTGTTTCTTACACAAGCGAGTAATGGCCAACAGTGCCGATATAAATGGTATGTTCACATATAAAAGAGTTGATGGAACCTCTGTAGACTTAACATGCACCTGTGGGACTCATTATGTATGCAACAGGGATAATGTGTACACAACTAAAGGGGGGGTCATTGATAAATGACATTACTGTTGATGCTTATGTTTGTCGAGATGATAATTAACTGTATAATAAACAACTCACTTCAAATTTGACATCTGTTTTATTTCATATGATCACACCACATCTCTCATGTTGTGTTAATCTGAATTATACTCGCACACATCAGAATATTATCTGATAATTAATCTGGGTAACACTCCTTGTTCAATTAGAAATTAATTAAAGAATCTGTAGTTCCTCAGTCTGCTCCATCATTTGGTTGTCTGCTGTGGAGAGCTACTGGACCCAGAAGTTCCTTAAATCCTGCAGTGTTCCTAGAGGATACAGACAGGAAGTACAGGAGGTGCTGGTAAACATATTGCTACAGTGTTTTGTAAACTTAGTCACCCAGGTATATCATTGTTCTATATATACTATAATCACCCAGGTGTGAATAACATCTGTCCCTTACCTGGCTCGTTTGGACTGCATGACGTAGGAGCGCTCTCTTCTCAGCTGCTCCAGTCGCTCTTTGACAACCATCTTTTGCTGATTCTTGTCCTCCTAAAACGCAATACAAATACTGATAATAAATAAATGGGATACAACTATTCAGATGATCTCAATATACAGCATTTTACCTGTGGGAGATCTTGTGTGAGGTGCCTTAGCCTGTCAGTGTGTTTCAATCCAAGCAGGTCTTCCTCTGCCTTTCTGTTGTGGATGATGGACAGATGCTCCTGAACCTAAAAGACAAACTGTGTCACATCTGAATACTCTTTCAGTGCCCCCTTTCCACCTCTCTTTATTGGGTAAAGTTGTGCTAAAATCCCTCCTCAGCTTTCTCTCACCCTCAGTAGTTGTCTCTCTTTATCTCTCTGCTGCCTCTGTTCCACCTTTCGTTGCATGTCCACCAGGTTGCGCATTGTCCTTTCTCTCTCCATCGCAGACACAGGCTCTCTTGCTCGCTCTCTCTCCATCAGTGTGGATTCCCTCATTGCCTCTCTTCCTGCAGGGCTACAGTCAACCTTTACAACAGGAAACAGCAGACATGGCACTAAAATAAGTCCATTATGTAAACACTGGTTTAGCAAGTCTGCCCAAAGATGAAACAGCAGACTTACTGTGACTTGTGATTTGTATTCGTGGTAATCAACATGAGCTGGTTCAGGCCCTCTCAGGTCCCACAGCTCATTGGCACACATTTCCACCTCGAGCATTTCTCTGTCCACATCTGGGGTCTCTTTATTACCCAGTTCAGAGTAGTAGTCACTAGCATGCCGCTCAACCTCAGGAGGTTCAAAGATGTTTAGAGCCTGCAGGGTCTCTGCTCCCAAAGCTTTTGTTTGCAGGTCACATTCAAAATCTCCTTTCTCTGGTCGATAAGTTGTTGCTCTTTCCTCGAAGGTCAACTAATGAGAATTTTAGAAGGGAATACAATCAGATGCATGTCATACAATGTGTTATGATCTGCTCTACACTTAGAGAGTACCTGTTCTACTGTGCTGTCCTGCTGGTCTGCAGACTGTGCGTGAGGATGATCTGTGGATTCAGAGCGGAGCTGAGTGGGTTTCTTCTCTTCTCTGTCACTCTCTGCTGAAGTCTCCTCACCCTGTGTGTGTTCAGCTGTGCTGCTTGTGTCACTTGACTGTACTTCCTGTCTCTGTGCTGCTCCTGCTGCCCTTCCTTCCTCATAGTCGGTCTCATCCTCTGCTGGTTGGCTCCAAGCAAAGGCGATCAGTGAGCCCTGTTTCTCAAAACTCTGGGGGCTCTTTGTTGCAGCGGCACCTTCTTCACCCTGGGCTCCCCCGTCTGTGTTGTGAGTATTGCTTGTTGCATCTGATACACACAAGGTCTCCAAGTAGGGCAGATCTTCCATGACTGCTCCACAACCTGGGGGAAAGCATAATTTTATAGTTGCAGTTTTTAGTTTTTGGTGATCTGTGCATGCCTTGCTGTGTCTGCAGTACCTGTACAGACGTCCTGTTGGTCGGTACATTCTGTGGCCTGCACCACCTGTAGGTCACTGATTGAATCCACGCTTGAAGTTTCATCTGGCCCTTTGATGCTGTTTTGAGCATTGCTGCTACTTTCTTTTAAGTTTGGATCAGTAGTGAGTATTGAGCCTGAAGTAAGAGGGGCGTCTGATATCAGTTGGAGGAGGTTGGTGTAGCGCGGTGCTTGAAGTTCAGATTTATATTCATCTCGCAGAGCTTGGATACTCTCTGCACTCTAACGGAAACACATAATTAACAACAGTTGGTGCTTTATTTAAAGATTGTGGGATCTTTTGATTGGATGCTGTGGTGGTCTGACTCACCTCGTCCTTCAGTGCTGGCAGTAATGTGGTCGCTTGGACCTCCTGGAGCTCCATCAGATGGGTCAACAGGAGCAGGGAACACTGCTCCAGCTGGTGTTTGTACCGCACTGCTGTTTGACTGCTTATATGAGGCTGGGGCTGATGGTCTGTTTGCTTTAAGGGGGTCTGAGTGTCATTGCTTGTCTGCAGGCCGGTATAGATTTGTCTCAGCCTTTTTATACAGGCTTTTCTCAAAGCAGCTTCCGGGTTACTTTCTGCAGAAGAAACAAGAAACAAATAATGAGAAAAAGCAAGCTGACAAGCATGCAGGAGAAATAGAAGCACATATTGATTTACCCTCCTTTGAAGGCACTGGTTCTTGCAAATCCTCCATGGAGACCCTGTTTGCCAACTGGACCAGGTGCTCTCTCTCCTGATCCTGAATCAGCACCAGCAACTGCAGCACTGCCTGCTGAAACAGGGCCAATGCTTTCGTTCTGATGCTCATACAACTACTGCAGTGTTTTTCTTTCTGCCAATACTCAAGAAACATATACTCAGAAAATAATATTACTTTAGGAGCAATGATATGACCTGATATGCTGCTTATGTCTCAGAACAAGACATCTGACCTTACCTGCTGTGGTGACACTGAGATAAAGTCTTTCTTCTGCTCTTCCTCTTCACCATGTAGCCATAGGGTCGCCTGTTCTGCTCTGCAGGGACTCTCTACATGTGGCCTGAGAAGATATATGTGGGACAGATAGCATACACATGAAGCTGAGTGTGCAAAGTGCATAAAGACATGGAGATAGTTTCCTCTTTCACCGTTCACTTTAAGCATTTGCTCACCATGTCTCCCAGGACTGCCGAGCTGCCAGCAGAGCGCTGTAGGACATCTTTTCTCTCTGGGCTCTGAGAGTTGCTAAACTGATGAATAAACACAACAGTCTCAGGCTCTCCCTGTCCAGCCTGGAAGAGAAGAGATTAATGAATAAACTCAGCATGTATTCACAGCCATATAAACCTCACAAGTAATTCCTTGAATTAGTGTTAACTTGTTATACTGTAGGTACAAGATGAGTACATCAAGAACTAATTTGAAATGGTTTGATATTCTTGACCTACTCCAATGTGTGAGTACTTACCTCTGGCCCAGGACAGTTAGAGTGTCCTTTTCTTGTTGACGAAATGTGTGTAGCTCACACAGGAGCGACACGGCAGACCATGACTGTTCCCTGGACTCAGGAGGGCTTTTCACGCAGGCCCTGCAGGAGAGTGATTTTTATTCTTGTGTTTATGTTTGATGCTCATTAAGGAAACCTGGAAGGAGATTTCTAAGCTTAACATTAAGTACAATATCTTTTTTTATAAATAACTAAAGGTGCGTTATTTTTATTGCTCCCTGAATAGTCACTTTATTACAAGACATTTTGCTATATTGGTTTGGATGTTTGTTGACATTTTTGATACTTTGTTATTATTTCCTCTTAATTAATAACCTGTGAATTGCAGATTGATTATTATGTATGTCATAATGATGAAAATTATCATTATTGTGTTTTACCTGTATATTCTGAATGCTCCTGGCAGCTCCGACAAACGAAGCATGTCTCCTGACTCCAAAGCCTCATCTGCACGATCTCCTAGCCCCTCCCTTTCCTCATGTTGTTGCCATGACAGCAGGGTCTCCCAGATACTCAGAGCTGTGGTATCACCAAAAATAAGATGAGGCAAAAGAAAACACAGGAATGTGAAGCACCTGGAGCAGGATCCATGATAAGAGGAAGTTATACTTAGAATTGAAGAGATTGTCTGTGTTATACTGCGGCAAATGTTCAGAGAAACGTTTCCTTACTGTAGTGCTCCTGCAGCATTTCTGTGTAAAGCAGCTGGGTCACCACATCATACTTCACTTCCACCAAGAGAAGGACGTCTGACGTGGAGACACAGCCCCAGGCCTGATGCCGTACCCCGAGGCTTCTGCCCTGCTGGGGGGGCAATACACTGTGCACACCCTCTGATGTCAATCTAAGAAAAACACAAACACATATCATCAACAGTTATAGAAATCACGAACTTAAGTGTATAATGGCTAGGTTTTAACATGGAATGAAACTGGTAATTGTTTTTAGTGGTTAAAGGTAAAGTAAAACAGTAAAAGTGTGTGCTTTAGTAAAGATACAACTATATGGCTTTTGACAGAAAAAGAAAAGCAAAAAAAATGAATACACTAAGTATGACTATTGGATGTCAAAGACTTTAGGTGGGTTTAGTTTGATAAACGTATTACTTTTTCTACTTGTGCTACTTTTTCAATATGTTATAGCATTTGACATTATTCCATATTGTCACTTTGGCCACTACTTCCAATTTCAGCAGAAGTCATATAAGAAGTAAGCTTGTTGTAAATGAAATCATATTTTGTGCCTATCTTACAGTATGTTTAGAAAGTATAGCATACATCTGCACGCTTTCCTGAAACCATCACATAAACATAAAGTAGGCTTCCGAACAATAGTATTTGAGTAACATTGAAAGTTATTTTGGTTAAGATGCTTACCTGGCCCAGCACTGCCTGGCTGCCTTCCTCAGCCTCTGCACACCTCTCACACTCCCATGCAGCTCTTTTTTAAAAGTATTTGGATCTGTGTTTTGGTGGAGGCATTTCTGCACACAAGGATCCATAATAACTGGTTTGTCCAACATATAGAGAGTGTTGAGATTTCCAACATTCACCAGCTGGAGGTCCCAGTAGAGCTACAGATAACAAAGTTGACACTTAGTAGAGATGAAAAAAATAATATCATAGTTAGTATGACATTTAGTAAAGAAAAAATAAATTAATGATTACCTTTTCCTTATTTTCTCTGTCCCTTTCCATTTCAAGGAGAACATCCAACACATTTTCACCAACACAAGACCAACTAATATCACCTCCTGCAATCTGAAACAGGCACAGAGAGATATCCCATAATGACAAATGACATTTGATGAAACCATAGCCGCTTTGTTGTTTAAAATAGGACTATGTTTCTACCTTCTTCTTGGCCACATGTGCTTCATCAGTGTTGGAGGAAAAATGAAACACTTTGAGGTAGAGGAGACTCACATCTTCAGAGGTAAACTCTGCTCCGACAGACATACCCAGGGATCGGTACAGACCGGCGATACAATCCTCAAGAAACATGCAACAAGGTGAGTTGTAGTTTACACACACAAAGAAAACAGATGCAGTTCTCACCCAACATCAAAACATCTTACCTGCTCCATGTTTTCACCACTGTGGACTGATAAATTATACAGGCTGTTGCTATAGATACAGTTGTCTTCTGGACAACAGCTGGATCAGGTTACCAAGCAACAAAAGTGACAGTGTATCTGTCAGAGTGAGTAATATGATACATGCACATGTGACACATTACACCTGACTGAAAAGGGTCCTGTGGCATAGCACCAGTTGTGAAAGTTGTCCGATCCCAGCCTGTAAATTGTATATTATGTTGCCTGAGGCATACATTATATAAATTGTCACAGATCCTACTGGTAAATTCATGGTAAAACTGCATTTTATGGGCCTGTCATTTCTTGCAGATTTTTTAACAATGTCTCATTAGAAATGAGAAATGTCATTAGTATTGGTATTATAACAACAGGAATTACATTAGTTGATCTTATAAGCAGTTGTTCACTGAGAGGAATATAGATTAAAGAAGTGCCAATTAAATCCTAGTCTATAATCATCCCTTATTCATTTATTATTTGAAACATTATTCTCCATATGAGTTGAACTTTGACGTCACATCTTTGCAAATTAAGCAAACCTGTCACTTAAAGCAGTTGACATTATTTCATTAGAAATGTTACATTTCAACACTTTTACCTCTTTTGTAATTGGAAAAATCACATATTTAATTCGAGGAAACCTCATAGGAAATCAGTTTAAGAAGAAATTCGTTAGCACAAATATTGTGAAGTTTTCGTTTATTCGTACAAAGAAAAGTGACAAAAAGAGTACCTGAGAGTATGAGGATCACTGCATGAACAGTCAGACAACGCACCGTGCTGAAATAAACACGTACAGTAAACAACTTTTGGTAGTAAATAATACTGTTGAAATAATCGAAAGGTTTTGGACAAAATCATGTATAAAACAGAACAGATTCATATTATTAATAATGTGAAATTAAAACATAAAAACCCTTGTGTAGTATAAATATTCAGTGCTACATGTAACAAGATAACAAAGTGGATTAAAAAACACAAAAATGCAGTGGTTTACCTATTTTAAATCCACAGGTCATGGAGGTTCATCTGTTTTTCCATTTAAAAATTCAGTATACAGTAACAGAGGCTTCTGATGTCCTTTCTTTGGATTGAAGATTGTTAGAGGTGGCAGTGCATGTGTGTGTATGTGTCCATTTGATAGTGAGGAGTTCAAAGAATTATAGGGCTTTATCATGAATGATCTTGGGGCACTTTTCTGGCTGTATGCAGTGGTTGTTGTGTAGAACCAGACCAGCAGGACACTGGCAGCCCGGCACACAGGGCTTGAAGCAGTGGCTCTCTATCACCCCGAGAGGCACGTCAGCGTTAAAGCAGGTTACAGGACAGGGGGGTCCGCACTCGTCAAACACAAAGCCCCTCTCCACTGGACAGCCCACAGCTGTGGAAGATAGTGACAGGGAAAAACAATATGAGACACTGTGAAGGCTTCAAGGGTGATGTGTGCAACTGCCAGGTAGTTTTATTAGAGGCTTAATTGATGTGAAGGACTTGTTACTTGCACTGTAAATTGTGATTGAGCATTGTACAACAAGAGCAGTTGGACTTTTGAGATTATGAACAAAAGCAGAGCATTAGTCACAGAGTGTGTTTTGAGATTATAAAAAGAAATGATCAGTTATAATGAATATTATTTAACGGCAAGTGCCTACAGTTATAATTTGTTAATTTTGCATAGTGGTTCAGTAACATTTGTACTTATCACCCCTTATCTTTATTATCGTTTACACAATAAGTGTTTAAAGAGCCTGAAACTTGGTTTGAAATATAATGTGTTTCATGAAAACATTATTTGTTCAAAAAGTCAGGACAGAATTATCTTCCTACTTGCATAACCCTCTTTCACACATGCAATGATACAAATATGACTCATATATGAAAACTCCATTAACTGCTCACTGTCACACAAATGATTACCCATATACAGTTTCTGATTAAGAAATCGTGTCATCAGGATCTTAGGTCTTTCTTTTCCTCACCACACAGAGATGGGCCCCTCCATTGCAGGGTGACTCCGGCCTCTCTGCACTGACTGGCGTAGGCCTCCAGTGTGTCACACAGACACTCCTCAGTGTTGGCCCCGCAGGCACAGAGGTCGTACACACAGGCTCCGTACCACGGCTCAGGAGGCACCACACGATGGCACGGCTTAAAGACTGCAGACTTCAGCACCTTGCAGCGAGCGTTAGCCCCCTTCTTGGCCTGGTAGCCTGCTTCTTTACAGGGGTCCACATCCTCACCGGGGCGACAGGAAGAGAGGGAGTGGCTACTATTTTTGACCTAAAAATGACAAACTTCAGTAGCAGATAAAAGGCTTGACAATTAATTTTTATTCCGGGTCTCTCTTTGTTTTTATTTTACCCTCCAGCTGTTGCCAAAGTCGGACTCTGATAGGCTGATTCGTCCACTAGGCATACGGAGGTCATCCTGGTAGTAGTTGTTGAAGTTTCCACACAGGCCACACGTGTGGCCCTTATAGGATCCAGGCACACTCACTTCCAGATGTGAGCGGCCACTCCACAGAACCTAAAGGAGGACCAGCAGGCGTAACTGTGTGACAAACTTGGGAAACAAATGGTCTCCAATCATGTTATAGAAAAGACAAAAGATTAAATAAAAATACTGTACCTTCAGGCCGATGTTAGTGTTGAGTAAGATGATGTTGCTTTGTCGTTCTACATAGATGTATGGTTCTCTAAGGAAGGGCAAAGGCACGACCTCACCATTCACCTGAAGATTAAAAAATGGCTGAGTGGATCTACAACACCAACATAACTGTTGTTCATTTGCAGTAACTGTACACACAAACCTTCACAAGCCAGTCCTGGAGTAGCTGCACTGTGACGTCTCCGATAAACACAGTCACCTCTTTGGTCCAGGACACTCCTTTACGCCCACGATCATCGTTAGTGGCATGAATACTGATCAAACAAGAATCAGATCAAACAGATCATTTCATTAAAATAATTTTTTAGCGGGTCGACAAATAGAGAAGTATATGGCTGAACCTGTTTACTCCCATAAATAACAACTGGTGACCCATCACCTGAAGTCTCCTCCTTCACAGTCCTGGGCCAGGATGTATGTGCAAGCTCCCTGGAAGTGCAGCATGCGGCCATCAAAGGTGCGATAATGAGGGTCTCCGAAGGCAATGCAGGTGGCAGGACGAGGAAGGCAGTGAGGACAGCACAAACCTGGGACAATGGCTGGCATCTCATCCTGAGGGCAAACACACACACACACACAGACTCAGAATAGTGAGGCATTACGGCAACATTTCAGATTATGAGGACTTGTGTGTTTGTTTGTTGTACTGACTGTTGCACAGGTGAGGGGAGGGCAGCGTTCACTGTGACAGTGTACTTCTCCAGACATACACGTACAGCCGGTGCACTCATCCACCTCCCACTGTTCGCTAGCTTGATACACTGTTCCCTGGTACAAACACGACGCCCCTGAGTCTACACCACACAAACACAAACAAACACATATAATATAAACTTAACAGAACAGTACAGTTTTTTGAGTTCACTGTAATGGCTGGCTGGGATACCTTGGCATTCATAGCAGCATTTGCCGGGAATCTTCACTTTCTTCTGGTTATTCAGGCAAAATTCAGGTAAACACTCTTCAATGCTGCACTCAATATAGCCCAACTGAGGATGAAACACAGGAAGAACGGATTCGTTTTTAGAAGTACATGGTCTGAATAGATACAATATACTCCTGAAGTAACTGCCATGTCATGTGACCTCCAAATCAATGCAGCATTCTTTTACAACACTAGACAAGTAGGACACACCTCTGTTTATTGGATTTTAGTTCTAATTTAAAACTTAACCCTGTGTTAGATTTGCCATATATTTACCAAGGTAAATATTTTTGAAAGGTTTAAATGTAACAATCATTAGTGAAAACATTGCAAGTATTTCTGTGCGACTCACGGTACAGGTACATGTGACGCAGTCGTCATCGCTGTCTGTCCAGCTGCTGCCGTTGTCCACGCTTCTGTTCTGACCCTCAATCACACAATCTGTATGAAACACAGGATAAGCATCACAATATTGAATGTTTTAATGCTAATAACAATTACATTGATTTTTAAAGGCAAGGCAAGCAGACAATAGGGAATGTAAAGATGGCAATATCTCACCTCTACACACAGGGCAGCATGAGTCCGGTGAATTAAACTGTTCATTTAAAGGGCAGGTGACGGGGGGGCAGTTTTGGTGTAAGCAGGTCCATGTCAAATCCTAAATCACAGACACAGTATCACTGCACAGAATCACATGGTATGTTGACTGTAGTTAAATGATTCCCAACAACTTAGATCTCAAGGTGCAGAGACGTCAAACTAACTTCCTATCATTTTGAAGCAAAGGAAATGGCAAAAATATGAAATTGTACTTGATTTCCTCCAGATGATTCTAGCTTGATAAGATATTTCTACAGCTAAATTGTGTCTGCTATACATGTTTTCATTAAAGGCAATAACAAGCTGTGTCAGTGTCATTCTCTTCCTTTGCTGCTAATTGAGTCATAAATCACTTTATGCATCTTATTACTGACAAACTGTATTCATAACAGCATGTTAAGTGTTTTTGCAGCAGTACCTGGCACTGGCACGTAAAACAAGGATCATCCGTCGCAGAGACCTCGTTGCCAATCAGTGCTGAAGTGCAGTTACTGAGAGGCTCTAAACAAACACACACATGTTCCAAAGCTCAGTGATAATGCAGATTATACACAGTTAATAAAAAGGCGGTTTAGTACTGACGTGCACAGACAGGACAGCAGGAGTCAGGTCCAGAGAACAAGATGTTGCTCTTGGCACAGTCGACCAGACTGGGACACTGCTTTCGGTAACACTTCAGGTGCTGTTCTCCATCCGGCATCACCTGGGACACACACATAGGTTGGAATAAAACTACCACTAATAATTATATTACTGTCAACAACTACAACCACTATATCCTGTGGATCTCCCATAGCTATCTCTACTACTACTGCTTTTACCTTTATTATCAAAAAGATCTATACATTGATTGACAGAACAAGAATTTGAGACAAGTTGGACACTTAATTAATCATTTAAGTCATCTATACAAATACAAAAAAGAGGAACTATTATGTGGTTCAAGTTTCAAATGTAAATATCCACAGATTTGATGTTTTGTTTGAATAGAAAATCTTTGGGTTTCAAAACATTGAGGTCTGGGAACTTTTGCTGGCATTTTTTCACTATTTTCTAATGATTGATCATTTATTTACATTAATAAATATAATGACTAAGTTTAACACAAAAAAAGTTCCCAATCAGTTTCCAGTCCATCGTACCTCACATGTGCAGATCTGGCAGGGGTCATCGGCTGGATGGAAACTGTCACCTGGGCCGTACACTCTGCCCTCAAATACACAGTCTATTAAATAAATCAACAATCATTTGATATCACCAAGCATCAAAACAAAATAATATTCTAATTTGAAACATGTAGCCTTTGTGTGTTAGATCTTTAGTTTTTATTACCAGCACACACAGGGCAGCACTCCCCGGGTACGCTGATGAAGTTGATGCAGGGAGAAAGACAGCGGACTTCAGAGCAGGTGGTCACCCCGTCCACACACATGCACGTCATGCAGGGAGTGGAGTCTGCAAACCAGCTGCTGCCCTCCGTATGCTCCTCTCCTCCATACATACAACCTGGAAAGAAAAATGTATTCACTTAACACTAACAGTACTATTTCTCTCTGTGATTATTATTTTAAGAAATATATTTACCTCTACAGCGAGGACAGCAGGATCCTGGATCAGTAATCAGATGCATACAAGGCAGCTTTGGACACTCAAGAGACGCACACTTCACCTCACCTGCCTGCAGGACTCACATTGATTAGAAATTAAACATCAGGAAAGTGCAAACGTGACGAAAAAAAACAGAACTGGAGGAGTCAGACCTGGCAGGAGCAGGTGGAGCAGTGGTTTGACCTCAGGGTCCATGTTTGCCCGTCAGTGAACTCCTGCCCATCAAGAATACAAACTGAGAGAGTCACGAGACAGAGACAGAGATGTAGAAAAAATGAGAAGAATATGTTGTTTAGAGAGGGATATGGTTTGTTGTCTTATGTTTTTATGTGTGCATAAGTGTGTCCGGTTGAAAAGAAGTGGGTGAATTTTGGATAAATACACATTAAGCACATCTGCACATTAAGTTAAGTTATTACAGGACTTATAGTACCTGTGCACTCAGGACAGCACTGTCCTGGCTTGGTAACTGGTCGGACGCAGGGTGTAGGCGGGCAGACCAGGGCCACACAGGTGACGGTGCCTCGGACGCAAGTGCAGCGCTGGCAGGGGTTGGAGGGAGCCGTGAAGGTGTGGCTGTGAGAGTGGACCCCCCCCTCATACAGACAGGAGTCACAGACTGGGCAGCAGGTCTCTGAAGGGACCGGGTGGGAGCACCGGAGCGGACAAGGTCTCTTCTGACAGTTCACCACCTCATTCTAATCAACGGATGGGAAAAAGAGAAATAACTAAAAGTTGTAAAAACTGAAAAACAGGAAGGATGGAATTAATCATATAGTTTAATTCCGAAAAAAATGCATGTTAGACAGACCAGACAGGAGCATGATGAGCAGGGATCAGAGGGCGAGGTGAAAGAGGAGCCAGACTGATACTCTTTCCCCCGATGAAGACAAAGCCCTGTGCAGGCAGGGCAGCACTCCCCAGACCGGGTCACTGGGCGCACACAGGAAACACTCGGACAAGACACATGTGAGCACACCACACCGCCGTTCTATACAAAGAAACACACGCACCAAATTGAGGTTGATAAAATGTCCTTTACATGTTAAGTCATATTCCTGACGTACAACTTAAGATAAACACATGATGGAGTGGTAGCTAGGTTTATTAATACTCCATATGCAAAACACAAAAGTGCTTTCCATAGGGTCAGTGCGATGGGAATAAAGGAATACTCCACAACCAAACCACCCTGCTTGTTTGGATTATCTTATAATTGTATTTTTGTCAGGTTTTAACAATGAGTATGTTAGTAGTACCAGACAGGAGCAGAGCTGGCAGTGATCTGAAGGATGTGGGAATCTTTCTCCATTGAAACAGCCTCGACCATTAAAGTTACATCCACCACACACTCCACATGCACAGCCATCCAGAGCTGGGTGTGAGCATGAGATGGCAGGGCATCTTCTCTGAGTACACCCAACTTCACCTCTCTGTGGAAAAGAAAGATGAGAGGTACAGCAGCTGTAACGAGCCCCCAAAATTAACAAAGCCCTTCTCCCATCTCACTGAGCATGTGCAGTCCTGGCATCCTCCCTCTCCTCCTGGAAGGATCTGCCCGTCAACATAAGTCAAACCCTGGAACTGACAACCTACACACAGAGTCAAACATTGATTATTGACTTACTCCTCATGTCACAAACTGTAATATGTTGTAAGCTGGTTACCATCACAGACAGGGCAGCCACATGGGTTAGTGACGGGGTGACGACAGGGGGCTGCTGGACACGACTTCTTCATGCATCGCACTGAACCGCTCTGTAGGAGGATAAGCATGACACATTGCCCAAAGAGATAAACCAGCAGGAATGTGTACATGAATGAGTGTGATTGTATGTGTGTGTGTGTGTGTGTGTTGAAGCTACCTGGCAGGTACATTCAGAGCAGAGGTTTCCTGGGTCAGGGATTGACTGACCAGTTGCAAGGACTGCACCATTATAGGAACAGCCTATCAAACAAAGACAGGTTTAATTTGATTTATTTTGTATTACTGTCAGTGTTGATTAAAATCAAGACATTTGAGCAGTACCTGAACCACACAATCATCATTTGCATATCTTTATACACCCCATGTTACTTTAAATTCTTAAATGTTGTTTATCTTGCATGCCTCAACTGTGAACAAAGAGTCCTTACATATGGACTGAGTTTAACAACAGCAAAGCTATATCAAAATGATTCAGTGTAATCCAAGTCCCATTTATTCTGTTGTTTTCTTACTACTTGACAAACGAATGCATTTTCGCCACTCGGCCGGACTACCACAGACAAGAAAAATGCATGATTGTTAATGCAGAAGTGTTAAAAGTAAGATTTAGCAAGAAGTGAATTAGTGAGCATACAACTGGATATTGACAGACAAGTTATTTGATAAATTGCAAACAGATGTTTTGATACAGTTTTGCTGTTAAACACTGTCCCGTATACTTAAATTCACCAAGACATTGCTCAATTTTGGTTTCCTCATTGACTGTGGCAGCACACAAGAAAATAAAGTTGTATTTAAGGATTCAAGAAAACATTGGTGGAGTGGTTGATTTACAAAATGGGAAAAGCTTTCCTTTAAACAAGGAGTTTGATGCTGACTCAACATACGTTCACATTCTCCACAGCATTGTCCGGGTGGTTTGTAAGGGTGGCTGCACTCTCCATAACAGGGGGTCTTAGTGCAGACGACGTCGCCTCCGTAACAGTAACACACACCACAGGGGTCTTTGTCATCAGCAAACTCAGTGCCATCATGGTACTCTTTTCCACGAAACATGCAGCCTGCAAGTAGAAAACTGGAGTTTAGATATCTTTGAGAAAACCATGGGAAATGTCTGCGGATGATTTTCAGTAACTGGGATATTCACTCACCCTCACAGGACATGCAGCACTGTCTCTGGACGGAGTGGTTACAGTTGGACGGGGGACATCGCTTCCTCTCACAGCGGACAGAGCCCTCACGGCAGACACATATTTTACATGGGTCTGATGCATCATCCCACGACTCCCCATTAGCTCGCTCTCGACTCTCAAATAGGCAGCCTGCAAGCAAAGTGGAACATATTGAAACATGATAAAATGATCATCAGTACAGTTTATTTTGTGACTGAACAGTTATGTCTGAGGTTTTTTGTTGCAATGGATATTATGTTCTTGATCCAGACTTAAAAACGTTATGTTACAGTATCTTAATCTTGGAAGGACTTAAGCATCTGTACCTTCACAGGTCCGGCAGCACTGCTGTGTGATGGGGTGAGAACATGGAGCAAAGACGCAGGTCTTGCGCTGACAGTGAACCGCCCCATTGGTGCAGGCACATGATTGACAGCTGTCAGTCGGGTGGTAGAAACGCTCAGTGTGTCTGTATGATTGTTGTTCATACAAACAGTCCAATGGAGGAGCTGAAGGAATATCAGTGGAAAGAATCAACTGTAGGACTTGGCTTTACATCAGTCATGTTTATTTATGTTGTGTTCACCAAGAAATAAAACCAACAGCAGAAAATCTAAGAAATGTACATTTTGCAGAAGGATTTACTGGCCAATTAAATAAGGAGGAATAGAGTTTGTGTGAAAGTTCAACCTTTAAAGTCTAAATCCTTAATGGGAAATACGTTTAAAATGATGCATTAAGGATTTTTGTGATGATCTCCGTTAAGCTATTCTCTTTTTTCCAAACAAGGATCAGATGAAGCAATCTCTTTATATAAAGAAAAAAAAATGTCTGATCAATAAAATGAAGCAAAAAGGTGGATCAGACCTGTTTCTAGGACCACTTATAAAAGTGACAAAATCAGAATCAAAAATATAATTTGTGCTGTTGTGAAAAAACAGATCTTAGTCAAAATGCACACAGAAGAATTGGGACACTATTTCCTCCAGTGTGATCGTAGCTAAAGAAAGTGCCCTTTTTGATGCAAATAGAGGCGATCGGGCACTAAATGCACTTCTCGAACTTCCTTACCAGGACACTGGGGGCAGCAGTCTCCTGGGAGCACATTTGGGTTTGAGCACGACAGCAGAGGACACCTCTTCATCAGACACTGGACATTCCCATTCTTCAACAAACACAACACATATTCAATTAAAAAATGTTTTCAAGAAGACCATAGGAATGGTAAGTCATCATGGTTTTCTTACTATGCAGCTGCACGTCCTGCATGAGTCAGTAGGATGGGGAAACTCCTGTCCATTGGGATACTCTTTTCCAGCGTAGCTGCAGCCTAATGTAGATGAATGTAGATTACGTTTTCATTCGTTAACTGTATTTGTATTCCTGATAGAAAATTCATGTTTCCTCACCATTGCAGTTATTCTGACAGCATGTTCCAGACAGAGGCGCGTTACAGTGAGGATGAGGGCATTGTGCCTGGTGGCAGTCAATCTGGCCGCTCACACATTTACACTCCTCACACACACTCACAGGGTTAGGAAAAGCCTCTCCATCTACAAATATGCGGTTTTCAAAGGAGCAATCTGGGAAAGATTTAAACACACAGGCATTATATCTAGAGGACTGACGGTATAATATAATTCACACACTGTGTGCTACTTGATTCATGATATCTGTGTCTGAGTTTGAGCACCTGGACATTTAGGGCAACACTCTCCATGTGGTGTGTATGAGTTGGAACAGTTGAGTGGGGGACAAGGTCTTCTCTCACACTCTACACTGCCATGCTGAGGAAGAGAAAAAGACACTTAAGCTTTAAACTCGTTAAAAAAATGTTGAATCTTAAGATTGGTTTGTTATTTATTCCACGCGGTAGCTGCATAAGATCTAAAAGATTGATTTCACAATTCAGTTCTGACTTTGGGAACCATACATTCTCAAAGACATGCAAATGGAGATTTGAACACATCACTGTAAACAATGAAAGGTACAATAGAGGGTAAAATGTGAATGGAGACTTGCTCACCTGACATGTGCAGATGTGGCAGGGGTGGTCAGGGGTGGTAAACCTCTGTCCGTTGCTATAGATACGATGATTGTAGGTGCAGCTTTCACATACTGGACAGCAGGAGCCTAGGGAGATAAAAGAGACAGTGTCCCGATGTCACACGGTCACCTGCGTAAAAGCAAAGCTCAGACACACTCGCTCTTACCTGGGATCTTGCTGGGATGCAGGCACTCGGTGGAGGGGCATTGTGTGTGCGTACACCTCCTCTCTCCATTCACACAGCTGCAGCTGGAACATGGACCCTCAGGTTGCCATTTAGAGCCTTCCTCATATTCCACTCCCTCCAACACACACGCTACAGGGAGAAAAGAGAAGTTGTTATGTATTATAGAGCTGCACAATTAGGCAGTTGACATACAAACAATTGGCAACTATTTAAATTATTTCATATGTATTCATATGCGTGCATTATTACCTTTGCATATTGGACAGCAGAGATGTGGGTCTATAATGGGGTTGGAGCACTGGACAGGAGGGCACTTTTCTTCTCGGCAAATGACATTCCCACCCTATAACAGAAACATAAAAACATTATGACTGCATTATCAATTCAGTTTATATGAGCATTGAGAACCATAACAGCTATCACGTTAATAATATAGAATTATATTAAGCTCCAACATCCAAAAGATAGTGAAAAAAATTGTAATGTTTTGAGACATGAAGTAGAAACATCTATTTTTGTGAAAAACGATAATACACAAATTAAACTGAAACGTTTTGGACAAAAATCCTCAAAGTTTTACAACCGTCTTCCTGCATACACCACTCAGACTTGCCTTACACCTGCACTGCAGGCAGGGTCCACTTCCAGCAGGGATGAACACTTTTCCATCAGCATACTCCCTCCTGTCATACTCACATTCTATGGAAACAAACTCTAGTTATGTTTGCTTGAGTTTGAACGGCAATATTCAAATTGGAACACAGCATTCAATAGGCAAAACAAATTTGACAAACATGAAGAATTTCTGACCATCACATGTGGGACAACACTCTCCTTTGTGCTTAGCTGGATGGCTGCAGTGTAGCGTGGGACATGATGAATCCATGCGCTCACAAGAGACTTCACCTGCCTAACAGGTAAATAAGAGAAGATATTAAATGTGTCATTCAGATAGAACATATTAACAGTCAGTGGCCTGATTACACAGCTCAATGATAAATCTGCCTCAATATATGAGTCCACAATAGTTAATTTCAGATATATCAGCATCTGTGTCATTTACCGGCTTAAAAAGATAGCCTAATTCTCACACTTTATACCATTTGTTAAGGTTATCACATTCATTTCTGAAGGTGCAATAGGCTTTGATAGGTTGTCTTTAAACCTCTGGGTCACGAAACCTTGCAAACACATCATCAGTACAGTCACATGAACATACATGAAATGAAAAACAAATGGAAATCTCCAACTCAACCCACAGAGCAGCGGCATTGGAGGCAGGGGTCTCTCCTGGAGGGGAACTTCTGTCCATCCACATAGACCAAGGACTCATACTCACACTGCTCACACCTACAGGTCACATACACCCAACATACATATTTAAAACCTGGGTTAATGTTTTAGCTATTTTCAAAAGAGGCAGCGAATAAGGTGGTTTGATGCAGGCTTTAAAAAGATTAGGCAGGTTGGTTACCGTGGGCAACAGTCTCCAGAGCGTTGTACAGGGTTTTGACAAGACAAAGCAGGACAGGGACGTGGGGAACAAGCCAAATTTCCATCCTGGAGGAGAAAGGTAATATGAGGATAAACCTGATTAATCAACCAAAAATATTGAAGTTAATTATGGATAATGGGATAAACGACATACCACACATGTGCACTCTTGGCAACGGTCTGCAGTAGGGATCACAGCTCCGTTAGGAAAGTCATGACTGTTCACACCGCAGCCTACAAAACACACACACACACACACACACACACACACACACACACACACACACACACACACACACACACACACACACACACACACACACACACACACACAATCACACATTGTGTCTCTGCAGTTTACTGAAGACGCACAACACTGCTATAGTGAAGCGAAGGAACACACCTTGACAATCTGGACAGCAGGTATTGGGCGGGGGAGCAGCTGGGTTTTTACATGGGGTGTTACACCGCTCAGTCTCACAGCGAACGTGACCCTCCTGGTGAAAAGAGAGGACGATGTCAACACAGATGAAGATGTCAGAAAAGATGGGAGGTTACAGTCAGTCAGAATGGGACCCACCAGACAGAGGCAGACATCACAGGGATCGGCTACCGGCCTCCACGTGGCTCCATGATCATACTGGACACCAGAATGGATGCAGCCTGCAAAGGTAATAAATACAAATGTGTATTTCTGAAAGACCAATCTTTTCGTGCATCTAAAACAAATTGCAAATAAATCTGTCAGCTTTGACAAATCGAGTAATATAACCCTCCCCCCCTCTGGAAGCACATTTGCACCCGCCGCTGTCTGGACGAGATCTTTATTGTCACTATTAAACTGTCAACACATTGCATTATAAAAGAGGAGTCCGAGTAGTAATGGTTTTGTGTTGCAACAAATGCGAAATTAACAAAAAGTGCTGTCATAATATATGTTTTATGATCAGCCCATATCAACCTTTGTGAGACAGTTGGACAAATGTCATTTTCAAACAACCCAGTTAAGTGTTTGGAAAATTGAATTTCATGAACGAGGGCACATTTAATATTTTGTGATAGATTGCTTTTTATTTATAAACATTGTTGTGTACAGATGTTTATTATTGCTGTGTCCTTACCTCTGCACCGCTGGCAGCAGTGTCCTGGTACCGTCTCTTTGTGTGTGCAATCCAGTGAAGGGCAGTGTTCAGGAAAGCATTCCTTATCACCTCCCTGTTGGCAATGAGGTGACACAGAGGAGAGACAACATGATTAGCAGGTGAAGAACAGAGTAGTCGTTTAGGTTCCCAACATGTGTGAAAATGGATACACTCACCTTACACGTACAAGTCTGACAGCCATCTTTACTGTAGGAAACATTATGAACTGTACCATCCGGCTCACAGTCTGAAGAGGACACAGAAGTTATATAGAGTGCAACCTGATAGTTTAATAATAAAACAAGAATGTGGAAGTCACAGGTGGTCCCTCTTTGTTTGTCAATACAAATTGTCTTTGACTTTACTCTGTTGTCGGTCACTTGGAAACATCTGGCTCTGCTCTCTTTCCAGTGATGACAGTACAGCGTGGTTCCGATGTAATGTACATGTGCTCGCTCTCGCACACACTATATTTTATGGGCCGTAACTATAACCACAATTGCCTGCAGCCTTTCAGCCGTTAAAAAGACTACAACCAGCAAGTCTATTAACTCTGGAACAGATTTACGGTTGGAGAAATGGATCATAACTTTCCCATTCTGTGGCTGTTGAAGTTATTTTTATGAAAAATTAAGTTGTATACAATATAGCAAATACCAAACACTGAGGAGCAACATAGCTATTTTCTTTCATAAAAGGCTTTTAGGGAGCTCATTAAATATTATTGCTTAGCATGGACATTTTAGAAGATAATTATTTTAATGACAACCCTCCAAAGGAAAGAGACAATGTGTTTGTGTGTGAGAGAGGGCAATAATCACAGAGTGTGAGAGAGGCTTGTGAGGCTTCCTACTGTGCCAGCAGCCATCAGGCAATTCCTCTAGTGAGCCAAGCATGCATAAGATCAAAGTGTGTGTGTGCATGTGTGTGTGGGAGTGGGAGTCGGAAAGTGTGCATCAACTGAGTGCCATTGGAGTCTTCTGGCCTACATGCAGAAACAATTAAGGGGAAGATGAATGAGAAGGCAAAGACAGTGACAGAGAGTGTACTTGAGGAGGGTGAGAGAGGGGTCAGAGGGCTTTTTGGACACATGTGTTGTACATTGATGGTGAATATGTGCACCATAAGACAGGCCAAGAGAGACAGACCGACATTATCTAAACTCCTTCATGTTATTATCACTCCATTAAAGCAGGCAGTTGCACACATTTACCTTAATAGCACCCATCAGGGAGCTGATCACAACGGTATAACCATACAACAACAAGGAACTCTAAAACTACTACGTGACTCTGCAGTCTCAGACACACTGGTTCTGGGATAGTAGCAGTGAAACCCAGTGGGGTCAGAGGTCAAGAAAAAACATACGTCTCCCTTTTGACAGGAGTGAGACAGACAAGGGTCTGGGAGAGGGATGGCCTTCTTCAAACTAACTAGTTTGCACCAGAGGAATGTGTGCTGGTGTAAGGTTGTTGAAAGAGTATCTGTGATAAAAAGATAAACAAATTGAGCAGAAGAGAGAGATAAAGAGAACTGGAAAACGCTGAGTCATTTTTACCTTTGATGTTGGCTCGGCATGTGACCTTTCCAGATGTGCACGTACACACAGTGTTAATGTCAATCTGCCAATGCTGGCCATCATCTACCTCTCGCCCCTCCCACACACATCGCTGCCTCACACACTCACATCCCTCCAGGTACTGTACGCGTGACTCTAGGTTTGCATTCTGTAGAAAAACAAAAATACCATGTCAAGTAATTTGACATACAATAAAATACAGCTTTATTTATAAAGCACTTTAAAACCTCCAGACCAAAGTGCTCTACAGTCAAATAAATAAACAAAACATACAAAGATCACACAGCACAGCTCACACGCCATAAAACAAGTACAAGTAAAAAACAATAGACCATTTAAATGCAATAAAAGCAACAATCTAAAATATGTCAATACGATAAGGAGAAGAGGCATGTACATCACTTGACATTCATGTTGTATCAGGGAAAGTCTAAGTGCAATACATACTTCAGTTTTGACCATGTCCAGCATACGAGCCAGTTCCTCCATGCTTTTCTCCAGCCTCTTCAGCCTGTCATCTTTCTGTGCCTGAGAAACCGACTTCACCCCTTGAGGAGATCCCGGGGGCCCGAACACCACACCTCTCTGCAGCTGGTCACTCTGGACGTCCTGCTGATAATGTCTGGTTTGGTCTATTGGCCTGCGGCTTCTTTTAGGTTTATTGGGGGATGCGGCCTGCTGGAATATTGGACCGCTGTCGGTCGGAGAATCTGAGCTACTGGCGTCTGCGGACTGAGAGGGAGGAAGGTCATCTGGAAGGAAAAAGCATCAGTTTAGTAGGAGAATAGAATCCTGAATGAATAAAAGAACAAGTTCGGAGCTTAAAAAACACATCCTGGTAAGACGCTGTCAAGATGAGGACCCACACTGAGAAACAATAAACAAACTTTTATGGGACTATTTGCCTGAGGGCCACAATATAATCACGTAATGCCTATACACAATGGTAGTCCCAGTAATGAGTTTTAGGTTTTGCAACATAACTTTTATCAGTTATTTATTATTTATATAACTGTTTATGGCAGGAGAACTCAGAAACTGACAAAATATGTAACATGTCTCCCAGTACAAGACTTCTCATAACATAATGAATGATTTGTGCCAGTAATAAAGAGAAAGAATGCAGCAATAGGAAATGAGAGAGGGATGACACTGCAGCCTCTGGCATAAATTCTGCAGTGTCTGCTTTTCAGCACGCTGTTACTTACTCGAATATATAGATGCCCATGTACAGACAAACAGTGTGCATAAACATAAATACTTTTTAAAGAAGGAAATTAATCCAAGATCTCTAGTAAAATGTTGACAATGAAAGGGTTGTTTCCTAATATTTGACCATCCAAACAAAGAAAAGGATTTACAGTTTTGGTTGATCTTTTCTTACCTGTAACATTGTCACAGAGCCATGGTCGCCTTGGATACGATTTCATTGAAATCTCTGCCGCCTTCATATATCCCTGCATTCATAAAGAAACATAGAAATCCTCACATACTTCATTGTTCATTGAATTGAGACAGAACATATAATATGAACATGTACGTTTGCAGAATTATTGCTTACATTTTGGACATAAAGTTACATAGCTCAAAATACTGTAATGTTGCTGTTTCTTTCATATTTCAACCTTTTTTGTGATTATGCTGACCTGCAAGTGGCTTCAAACATGTCAGTGTGTGAGTATGTACATGTTTGCAAAACTCACACTAAACTTGCTGTCTCTCTTTCCTGGTGTGCTGGCCAGAGTGACAACAACATCTTGAGGCAGTTCCAGGTTGATTCTCTCTTCACTTTTTATTGGTAGAAGCACAGCTTCTTGGCAGTCAACAAAAAATACCAGTCTATCGGTGTCCAGGCTCACAGCCAACTCCACCCACTCCTCCCTGGAGAAGGGATTTCTCCCGGGGAACTGAACGCTGACAAGGCCCCGAGCTCCTCCTCCAGCCCGGTAGTCCAAATGTAGTGTGTGATTGAGGGTGGAGGAGATGACTTGAAAAACAGGCGAGGATCCAGAGGAGAGAGAAAGAAGAGTGGCAGTTGAGCCTGGCGCCTGATGCCCCACCAGATGCACCCCCATGCTACCCCGAAGGTTGGAGTACAACAAGTTGGAATATTCAGCTGGAAGAGTCAGGTACGGAGCTCTGGGACGTAATTTGTAAATCACGCTGCCGGGACTCTGCAGCCTGGTCACACCGCTCATGTGGTGGGACATGTTTAGGGCTGCCAGTAGGTCAATCACTAGGAAAGAGAAAACACAAACTTGTGACAAACATATACTCATATTCATCATACACATCAACAGGAGGTCGTGCTCTGTATAATAAGGAATGTCATGGTTTTTGGGCTGTGTTGAATGGGAGTGTTTTTGAGACTAAATCAGAATGAAACCTTTCATCTGCTGTTTACACATGGCTGCCAAACTGACCTCAAACAAAACAGCAACAAACCAGCATGGTAGCCTACAGTCAGTCACATCCATCTGCCTCTCAATTATTGCAATAGGACATACAACTCTCTAAGCTTTTTTGCTTTGGTTGATATGATACATTTTGAGTACCCCAGTTGTGGGAAGAAGCTTTGTTCAGGTAAGTTACATTTGACTAATGCTGATTACTTGCATCTAAATATTACTATAGCTATAGTAATTTTGCAAATAAGGATTATGCATGCAAAAAGCTAATAGAAAACTAGGGTAAACTATACCCAAAATCATGAGTTGATATGATCTTGACTACAACACAACAAATAAAGTTGCTTACACATCATGTATAAGTGATAATAATAATAATAGTTCAATACCATAATATGTAATAATGTGTAACTGTTCTGCGCAATCATTGCTTACTATAAAATACTTACTTGAGAATATGTTGCTGAAAAAAACCTTCAACTTTATCTAACTCTAATTACTTTCAACAAAGTAAAATATTTCTTGTTCACATGTCTAATCTCCATATCAAATCAAAAGTCTACTCTAGAGCAAAAATAAACAATATAATAAAACCTATACAAATGTTGACCAAACTACGAACACTGCAGTAAACTCACCATTCTCGTGTTTTGGACTGGAGTTCCCCTGCACAGACAGCGCAAAGACACACAGTAAATGTATCTCCAGCAGCACGAGCCTCCTCAGTTTGCTGCTCTCCATTCTCCAGACGGAAACAATGGAAAGCCTGGTCTAAGATCCAAACAATTTATGCAAAAGGCATGTTATTCATCGTTTTCTTAACCTTATTCTGATGACATGGCTGTGTGTTTAGGATTCCCCTGTTTCCTCCGCGAGCAGATATTTTCCAAAGAGCGCGCGGGGAAACATGAAACATCTGGATGCAGGCAGGGCGTCACTTCTCTGCAGTCACACACTCACATTCCCCCTGGGGCAATTTCTACAGCACACTTTCAGTCCATGATAACAAAGGAGAAGAGTTTGATGATTATTACTATCCTTGATTATTATTATCCAATGCGCTTGTTATTTCCATTGAGAGAGAAAGAGAGAGATAGAAAATATGCACGCAAGCTAAAAAGTTCAGGTGTGCAGTGCGAGTGAGGTCACTGGCTCTTCTTTGTCTTGTTTAGTTTGCAGTCCCAGATGGATAGCTGTGGGGGAAGTCTTTTCTTCCCCTGTTTTCTCTAATTTTGTCAGGCAAAGAAAAAAACATCTCGCCACCCATCACTGCTTGGTGGTGTTGATTCCCAAAGACCCCGCTTCGGCGATCAGCTAAAACCTGGTCTGGAGGCTGGAGAGGAGCCACAGAAGCAGCAGCCAAAACTCTGTGTGTGTGTGTGTGTGTGTGTGTGTGTGTGTGTGTGTGTGTGTGTGTGTGTGTGTGTGTGTGTGTGTGTGTGTGTGTGTGTGTGTGTGTGTGTGTGTGTGTGTGTGTGTGTGTGTGTGTGTGTGTGTGTGTGTGTGTGTGTGTGTGTGTGTGTCGTGAGTAGAGTAGTAGTAGAAGAAGAGAGTAGTAG